CAAAACACAACACACATGAACTGTGCTGTCTAAAGGCACAGCCCTTCCCACAGTGTTGCATATCCTCTGAAACACACCCAAGATTCAAGTGCAAGCACAAGACATGTAAGACGCTTCCGAAGGCACAGATGCCGACGGAACATAGCACCTCCGAATGCAACCTCACCTGCGTCTTGCCCACATGTTCTTCCAAGCTTCAAGTCCTTCACACGGATAATTTTTAGAGGCACTCTGCCATTTTCAGGCCTGGCTGACTCAACTCCCTCATTGCCTTTGCCTTACTGGTTTATTTATTCATGTATTTTTCATGTATTTATTTATTCATCATATATTTATTCCCCACCGTGTTCCAAAACAGATATAAGGCAGCTTACAAGAATATACAAAATACAGTATGAGAGCATAAGTTCAAAGTATATAGGAGTATAAAAGGAAAAAAAAAGACAGGAACATGAAATGGAGCCTGGAAGCAAGCTAATACAAAGTGCATACATACCATAGAGTCCCATTATGAGTGCTCTGCATGGGCCACACCTTTAGCTCCAAGCTTTCTAGTAGCCAACAAAAGAGAAACCTGACCCATCTCACACTTCACAGGGTCCATAAAATAAAAAACCATGTGCTCAGATATCCTTCTCCTGGTCTAAGTTCTGAAAACTTTTCTACAGTGAAGTATCATAAAGTGGTGGCAAATTGTCTCTCTCCTCATTTGCTCTCATACCAAGATTTGGCTCCTGGAACAGTCTCCAGCAGACAGATCCTCAACCTTCAAATTCTATCTACTGCTTCTTTTTTTTTTTTCTACTGGCCTCTTGAAGTCCCATTTGGTCAATAAAATATAGCTATTAAAGAGACTTCTTCAAACAAATAAAATTCTCTGCTGTCACCAAAGTTAAGTTTTTCATTTCACTGAAGAAATACACAATGTGCCATTACTTCTGACAAAAATTTGGAAAGGACCCCCCCCACAAATACCCAACAAAATAAATGGTTAAACCAGGATGCAATGTGACAAACTATTATACACCATCAAAAATGATATGCAAACTTACCACAAATATAGGAAAATATTCATGATAAAAATTTTAAGTGAAAAAGTAGGATATAAAACTATATATATTATGATTTTAACTATGTAAAAAGCACATATATTATGTGTATATATATATGTGTATATCCCCACTAAAAAATCTGGAAGGCAATCCACTAAAATGTTAACATGGTGTTTGAGTATGGGTGATTTTTATTTCTTCTGTATGCTTTGTTTCTATTGTCACAGTTTTTGATACTGACGTACAATTCTATATCATGAGGAGGAGGGGGACTAAGAGGAAAAATATCAACCCAGGTGGAGTTATCTTTGGCTTGTGAAATGATGGGCAATTTCAGGTTTCTTTTAAATTTTTCTAAAATTGATGTATAAATTCTAGTCAGGACAAAGTTACTTAAGAAAGGAAACAAAAATTCTCAAATCTAGGTTTTGTGGTTGCTCATTTATAAGGTCCAGAATTATATAAATGCAGTAATACCTCATGATTACTTAGCACTTTTTATTTTTACTTTAAATTTACTTAATTTTGTTTACAATGGTACTCTGATGTTTAGAATTACATGTGATTATCAAAAATATTTTCTGAGGTAGGCCAAGTATTACCATCTCCATTTAATAGGTGATGAACCTGAGGCTCAGATAAAGTAATTGACTAACCAAAGTCTCAATAATCAGTGGCAGAGCTGGACTCCAATCCAGGTCTCCAAGAACCCAAGTCCAGTGCTTTTTCCATTTGTTAAAGACTGACTGGTATAACCCAAGTAGTCATGGAGAGGCAGACACATCAAAATGGTAACCCCCCCTTACCTACGAGGGTCACGTTCCTGAATGTCCCCAAGGTAAGAGAGTTCAACTGAGAAAATTATGATTTTAGGAGGTATAAAATAGGGGGGAACAGGGGAAGTGAGGTCACGTGAATTTTTGAAAGCTCTCATAAGTATTTTTTGTGCAGTAAAATAAAACAATTAACAACAGTACATTATGTAAAAAGATAATGAATTTACATAGCTTCAATTAGTAAAAATGATAGGCTTTATACAGTTCCCATTTGGATCCTGGGATGATTTCCAGAGGAGATGGGGATGTACCACTCATTACATGGCAGTGGAAAAGGGGGTAAAAGTGAAGTGATGAACAGAGGTGGCGTGTTAGTTCAAATCATGGATCTCCATGCTCTCAGAATCATCTAAATCCAATCCTGAAATTATAACAACTTGCTTGTGGCTTTAGTCCTATGAAGCAAGTGTATTTAGGTGGTACAACTTAAAGACTTTGGCTCTTCTGAACATGCTTTCTGTCTTCTCAAGTCTTTTTTGAAGACACCATAGCACTTCTGAATACAGGGTTCAGGTTAAATCATTCAAGCTTGGTCTGAAGGCAGCTGATCTAGCACAGGTATTTAAATGGCACTACTTTGATCATGTAGGCTCTTCTGAGGATGCTTTCTTCCCAATGTGGTGGTGTAAGACTCAGCACCTCTTTACAGAGTTCAATTAAATCATTCAAGCTTTGAAGGCAGCTTATTAGTTGTCTAGTAATGGTATTAAACAGCCCTGCTTGGTCGTTTAAGTTCTGTTGAAGATGGTTTCTGTCCAATGTGATTTTTTTGAAGGCATCATAGCACCTCTTTATAGAATTCTGCTAAAGCACATCAAGCTTTGAACAGGTAAGATTTGGCATGTAAGGCACTCATTTTTATTACTTTCTTGGGGGAGGAGGGGTTTAACCTTGTTTTAAAAAATGTGTTTCTATTGCTTTTCAATGTATTTGTCTCTAGTCCCCTAGCTTCTAGTTACCTTCATCATCACTTATGACAATCACCTCATTTGAATTAGTGTCAACAGATTTAGACTCAACTTCAGCCAATGACTGCTCCTGTGCCAAATGTTCAGCCTCATCCACATGTTCTCCCTGATCCAAAGATTCTTTGTCTTCAGGAGGGGTCACTGAAAGATATTTCACTATCTCGAGACAAATCTTCTCCCAGGTCCCATTAATGACAGGATCTATTAAACTATCTAATGCCTCTTTTATTAGGAACATAGCATTAGTGATGGTGTGGGAATGCCATGCACTAGGACTTTCAGAGAGAGGAACTTTTGTGACATTTTAAACAACAGTCATGTTGGATTGGCATACATCTTCCTGAATGGTCAAATCAAACACTTATCTAAGGGCTCAGGAATCTGAGACATGTGACTAGTTATCAAGAGAACCTTAACATTAGGGTACACGTTAGCAAATGCATCTCAGGTACCAAAAGGACTGTGAACAATCAGTAGGGCTTTGAATTCAAGATTTGTTTCTTTTAAGAAGTAGTCTTGAATTTCCACAAGGAAGTACTGTTCAAACCATTTCTTAAGGACAGAAGGGGTCATACAGGCTTTTCTGTTTACACACCAGTACACCAGAAACTTGGCTTGGGTTTTTCTCATGAGAGGATTTGGGCAGAGCTTTCTGTAGAGTAGTAATAGTTTCACTACAAGGTCACCTGAAGTATTGGCACAAAACAGAAATGTCAGCCTCTCTGCTTTTGCTGATCTCATGTCAGCATCAGCTGGCTCTTGCTTTTTTCCACAGGCAAGGCGGATCATTCAGGGTTTTCCAAAGCATGGCAGTCTCAACAGCACCAAAGATTTGTGCAGGCACATAATCTCCTTCTTCAGCCACTTTCTGCACCTGTGGTGGATCCCACACGGGGCCAGGATCTAGTGGGTTCTTTGAGGCACCACTGTCACATAAGACTTCTTCTCTAGCTTATGGTGCACCAGAAATTTCTCAAACCATCCCTTGCTCCAGGCAAAAAGTTTTTTTTTTCTGGACCCACTTCAGTGTCTGAAAATATGTCTTGAAAATTCCTCTTGCATGGTGCAGATCCCTTGCATGGGAACTGTTTCATTATTCTTTCATTTGGCTTCAATCCAGAGGCTTAAAACCATTTCCATCGTTTCCATCCTTGGGTCATGAGGGCTAAAAGCATCTCTTAGGTGACACAGGTACACAAGAGGCAACACTGGCCCTAATTCAGAGTTTCAGCTTTCTTTATGGGATACATTGTGGATTCAGTAACACCTCATAAGCGACCTACAAAGCTATTTGTTTTACCTTGAGGAAGCAGATCAGGAATTTCCCTTCTCTTCCAAAGACATCACCCTTCTTGCCCCTTTGGCAACTCGCTGTGGTGCAGGTGTGCACGTAACTGGCTTCACCCTCCCCAACCTCAACGATCACATTTACAGAAGCCATGTCTAAGCTTCAGGCAAATTAATGCAACCTGACAATTACTTGAGATTTGATAGGCCCCAGTGTTACAAAGTGTCAGCGTATGATATTTAAGCACCAAATGGTATGATGAACACCACACAATCTATGTTAATAGGTGGTTCATGATATTCAGTGCAAACAGGGCTGTTGTTTGGGGGACAACTGGCAGAAGAGTGACAGAGCAAATGACTCAGAAGTTTCTTCCCACCTTGTGAGACAGTCAGGTAATAATATGGCAACTCGGACTGACTCTTATATACTCAATTCAAAATTTCCACAGTTGTCAAAAAGGTAGACAGAAGTGAATCCACTTATACTCAAATTTCCAATAAGGTCAATTTGCAGTTAGAAAGGGATTACTGTAAATTCACCTCTGCGTTATCAGAAAGAAAGTCACCGTTCATATATTCGAAGACAGTACTGTTGCTACGATTTCCCTTGGCTTAACACTAGGAATTCAACGTTATGTGACAGGCGAGCACAGCATATAAGTGTATTTTCTGTAAACCAATAGTAAGTCTCAATCAAACATTATCCCCTGACACAATGCAACCTCTGAAGATGTAGATGCAAAGGTCAGGCAGGCCCTGAATAGCCAACGCTCAAGAAATGGATGTGTGAGAAAGAAAGTGACAATGAAAGAAAAAACTAGCCCCTTTCCAATGCCCGGCCACTGATACTTTACTTTTATCCCCTCCTCCTGGGAAGATAGAGCGAAGCCTGGCTTTCTTATTCTTCTCTTCAGGGGCCATGGGAAGTGGTTTGGAGCTGTGGTTGAGTGCTGAAGAATCCCGGTTGTTGCTATTCATCCTCAGTGGGGGAGCTGGGGGTTTCTCTTCATTATCCAGGCCGTCAGACATTTTCAGTTATAACTGACTGTACAGCTCCTATAGAAGAGGAAGAGAAACCAAGATTTAAGGAGAGGTCCAAAAAACAACCTAGTAAATAAGGGGATTCTAACATCTTAGAAACAAAAGCATTGGTCTCACGTTGTCTAAGGTTCTTTGGTGGCCGTTTTGAGGGGTCTTTCTCCTAGAGGGGAGGGAGCTGCCTCCCTAAAGACCAAGGATGCAATTTCCCAAAAAGGAAAGTGAGGGCAACAATTAATGGCTTTTCATTATGTTTAAAAAAGGTCCTTTTCTTTGCTCACAATGTAACCCAATTTGCTGCCCTCCACTAATAGTCTCTTAATAAACAATTTCCAATGTTTCTTCTTTAAAAATTCTTCCCTGTGGATGTCATGGTCAAGCAGCACCACGTCCTCCGAGTCTGGAACCAACACAGGTTTGGCTATTAATTTTTAATGGTCCACCACAATGATCTGTCAGTCACTCTGACACTGGGATGCCTTTGGTGTCTGATTCTTACCTGTGTGTATCCGATTTACAAAACACACTCTACTGTTTTATGAGAAAGAATCAAGAAATGATCTGGTAGGCCCAGCAGTCTCAGCAGAGTTGGGGTGTACTAGGTGGGGGAAACAATGCCCCAGCTTCAGGTAGCAGGTAAAAGATAAAGATGGGCCAAATGTCCCCATGAGCAAAGTGGAGCTCAAGGAGAGGACTGCTTCCTCACACACCATCATCTTACTCCTTGTCATGTTTTAGGTCCTGAAACAGGGCTGGTGACAGGTTGTAATGGCCAATCTGGGTTTTAGAAACTTCTCAGCTTGTAATTCCATTAGTCCTTACTATCTTGAGCATAGGAATGAAGACATTTGGGGTTGCATCCCACTGGAGGGTAAAGTGAGCTGGAAAAACATCCCCAAAGAAATGTTTCTGTTTCCAGCTGTTTTCCTATTCTGATTCAAGTCCGTCCATTAGGGGCCTGATACTTGCCACAGCAAGTCAGGTCTTAAGAATAACTTCTAAGTGAATCTCCAAATGCAACAATATCTCTGTGAATTCCTCAAGTATTAACTGGCACTAATCTAGGAGCATAAGAGCTCTCCAGGCACAACTTAGCATATCACTTTACTCCAACAACATTTACTACCAACAAACCTATGTACAAGAAAAAACACAGGTCTCCTCATTACCTGCTATCATGAGAAATAATCTATTATAATTTTTTAGCTCTTTAGTAGTTACATGTGTTACTTATTTTCAGTAATGAACTCTAAATTACCTCATGTGGAAAATTTTTTAAACTTTTCCTGTTGTTGTAAACTGTCTCAAATACATGCAGCCTGTCTGTTTTTCAAGAGTAGGTGACTATCAATTAATAGCTTCTCTATCTGCACATGTAACTGCCAACTAACAGTGGGTGGCTTGATCTTGACTTGGGCAAGAGATCTCTTTTCCTCTGCCTAAGTGTCATGCCTCACATTTATCTTAATGAATTAAAACCAGTTCTGCATTTTTTTCAGTAATCATGGTAGCAAAACCACTCAGTAATAACTATTTTGTCATCGATGACAACTGATCAGTCTCACATTTTCCATGCAGGTAAAACAACAGAATAAGGTAAAGTGAAAAGGTAACTGGTGTCAAAGTTAAAGTACACTCATAGATACTACTGGTGCTGGTAAATATTTTAACTAGAATATGAAGCCAGTGCTTCATAGGTCTGCATTCCCTTTTGCATTTCGATTTTGATCCTTCTAAATTCACTATTTCTCCAGAAAAAAAGTGAGCTTAAGACTGAGTTCATGAGTGGCATTATTATGTATTGGACAGGTTTCTGGTTTTATTAGGCAATGAGAATTTGCCACCAGCAGATATCACTAATTTTTTTATTTTTGTTTGTTTTACTTTTCTGGTTCAAAAACAATGCCTGGATATGAGGTGATTATACATAAAGTTCAGACATACACAGTCTAGTTTGGTAAAAAGAATGAAATTTCAAAGTTATTGCAAAGGAACTGAGAATTTAAACAGAAATACCTACAAGAGATGTTCCTCAAAAATGTGCCCCACAGGGAGAGAGAGTCACCATATTCTGGATGATACACATTTTCTGATGACATATTACTTAACTTGAGATGACGGGAGTCAGAAAAACACACATGGCCTCTTTAAAATGAAATACAAAGCTGATCTTAGATAACAAAGCACAAGTCTGGGCCAGTTGGGGTTCTAGCGTACGTATGTAATTCAAAGTACTAGGCTCCTTTGTTCGTGTTAATTAGGTATGGCACAGTGGTGTATTTTAGGTCCCAGTTACTCTCTCTGGCTAGAGACTTAACTTTTCAGACTATGTGATTATCCTGACCTTATTTGACCACGTGTATTTTAGACTGTGGTAAGACAAAAGAAAAAAGAACCTCAAACTATATGCTCCTATATTACACTTGAAATTCCTGACCAAAATTTCACCACCACAGGCTTGCTGTGGTCCGCATCATGGGCAGTCTGCAAAGTACCCAGCTTACATGGCCCACCTAGCAAACTGGAACTGTGCTAATTCCATCCAGCTCATCAGGGGATTAGAAGAGGAGTTGGAATCAATCTTTTACCTAGATGGAAATGAAACTGAAGAATCTCCAGTTTCCCATGAGGAATGTGAAGAAGGAAGTAAATAACCACTTAGATCCCCTAGACACTTCAGATTTGGTTTCCTTGAATTATGCTGATACTACCTCAGGTCTTTATTAGCCTTTACAAGGCATAGCCAATCTCCATCTTTTCATTACTCCAGATAACTCTGATTTGGTGACAAAAGAATAGGGAAGGAGGCTCCTGTTACCTTTAACTCACCTTCAAAGCAAGGGATTCAAAGCATATTTTTGGAAGACCAATGGAGAAAGGGTAAGGACTTGTAAAGAAGCCTTGATGTTAATGCATTTGCTTCCCAAGTGGACGGCATCTCCCAACTACTCCACAAGCGGAGCAGAAAAGGGGATTCTATTATATTATGTTTGTAAACAATGACAATTTACTAAGCCCAGTCCCTCCCTTGAGACAGCTTTCTACAAAGAATCCTATTAATGGATCAATCTGCCTATGATGTCACTATTTCCAAGATCTTGAAAGAGACGATTCTGTTTGGGGTGGCTGTAGGCTCGATTTCAAGAATTATACAAAAGCACCATTCTTCTCAAAGAACCCAATCAAAACAACTATTTATCTTTAAAGTTTAACTGTTGTCCTTCACTTTTGCAATAGAACAGAAACTTGCAAGTGAGTGGCACACTGGGATCTGGTCACAGGCCATTCATTTTACTCTTGGAACTTAGCCCTTAGCCTTGCAGAGGAACAGCTAACTTTAATGGCCAACTAGCAACAGTTTGTTCACAGATTAATTTCATACTTGGCTACTAGGTTCCTCTGAGAGAATTCAAAGAGTTTCTGCAGACGGTGTATATTTTTTATTCCAACATTGGGACTTAACGTGGCTGACCAATACTCTGTAATTACAACTAAAATCCATCAGCAACAAGAGTTGCTTGCATGGTAACCACGGGGCCTGAATACCCCCTTTTCAGAGTACTAGGAAAGATTATTTCTTTTCCCTTCCTCCTTATCTTCCTTTTTCTCTCTTCTCCACTGCCACCTAAGCCGGAGGGCAAGAATTCGCACATAGGCGCATACACAAACACACACTGCCCTTCACTGACATGTCTTTGGACACTGAGATGAACTGCAAAGCATTCGGAGGAAAACTTTTATCAAGATGCACAGCAACTTTGGGTGAAATGATTAGGTTTTATGAACAACTGCCATTATTCTCTCATTCCTCCAAAATGCATTCTTTTAATCAGTGCAGTGCCAGACTAGATACTGAGAGAATGCTTGGTAGGTTAGAAAAGAAAGCCACGAACTTGCATGTTCCAGGAGTCAAGGGGAAAGACAGGCAATCAATGATACATAGCTAATGCGGCCGAAATTCATACTACAGACTGTGTGTTGCACAGCTGTGCCCAGTTGCCATGAGCTACCCAACTGTGTTAAGGGTGAGAATCCAGAAATACTGGCCTTCCAACTTGGCAAGGCCATCTATTAAACCATAAGCAACTGAAATAAATATTTTCATTGGATCTGGTGCCAGAGAAAACACACATGTCTGTATTATTCTGTTTGCTTTCAAAACCTAAATAGCTATTTATTTGCATATTTTCCCAATGAGAAACCAACTAACATTGGCCTCCTTTCAAAAACAAAAGCTCAGGCCAGCAGATGCAGAGGCATGATACAATAAACCCCTGAGGTCAAGCTTCAAAACCACCAGCCACACAAGGCTATTACTACGGATGGGTTAGCACATCAATATTGGCTAATATAATTTTCATATCAAACTAGAGGATCTCATACCAGAACAAAAAGATGTAGCCTAGGGGAAATTTCCATGGAGAACTTTCTAACGTTTTTGAGATACCTGCATGGAGAATAGGGTTGCAAGGCACATTGAGCTGAGTGATGACAGCCACACTGACAAGAGCACCTAAGAAAGAAGATGGATTTTAGGATCTCAAAAATGCAGTAAACAAGTCAAAGAATTCTCACTGTGCTAAAACATGAGAGTATTTCAAATTTCTAGAATTGGGGAAATCTTTATAACAAGAATTAGCTCTATAATTCAAGAAAAACTGAACTGTTAATGACACCTTTCAGGCTTGGAGGTATTATATAAACCATTGATTTAAAGTCAGCCAATGTCTCCTTAGGCAACATCAACGCTGGCTGTTCTTTGTATCCGAGGAGGAGTCTGCTGCTTTTACCATGAGAATGATGTATACAGAGAATTATACTTCGGTGGTGTGAAAAAGGATCCCCCAAGAGTCACATGCTGGCTCTTTCCTGAGCTCCCTTGTAAACAAAAGTAAATGTTTTCAAGAGGGCTAGCGAAGCTTCCAGGTATACAGACTGTGACTGGGAAATAAACTATGTTTTGCTAACTAGCCTACACTGATACTAAGCCCACTTCATCTCAGACACATTACCAGAAA